AGGAATTTTACTGATACATACCTCTTATTAAGACTTCGGTGGCATTGTGTTGCCCCGGAAAAGTATAGTAGCTAAGTTGGTATCAATATTGATGAATTAATGTCTGTTTGTTTAATTCTGATGTTAATTGCGGGTGGCAATGAGAGAGGACGAATTACCTGATGATAAGCAAGTAGACCTATGGACCATCGCAATACCAGTTTTTTATTTTTATGTCATAAGCCGGTAAACGAGCAGACGGATCACCTGATGGTAACCAATCGGCGTCGCCCATGGACACCTGGAACACCAGAGGCGTCACAAGTGCGTTACCGGCCTTTTGGGGATTAGGAGTTTGAGGATTGTTGAGGATTCGGGGATTGGGGAGATTGAGGAAGGGAGGGATAATTAGGCCTACGGTAACCTCACTCACACGACGAAGTTAGAAGTTGCCGGCCATTTAAAGTATAAGGTTTGACTATTGAGCCTCCGAGCTCCGGTAATCTCACTTACACGGCATAACACATTCCTAAAATCAATATGTTTATAATAACCATTCTCATCGGAGAAAAGTTTTTTTCCCTAGTTGAAGTAACCAGCCTTACACTGATGATATAGGTACTATATAATAACCTTCGCATCAGCTTCCTTGTGCGTACCTAGCTTCACCTAGCTTCACTTACGGACTGACTGACAGACTATTATTTATTTTGTATTTGTTGACGTTTCAAAAATACAGGTTTATTTGACATAAATGCTTTGATTTTGACTTTGTACTGGTATTTGGAGTGGATTTATTTGCCAGTTTTTTTCCTGAAGGGTATACCTGGGTACTTGGGTGTCTTCAAGGCCCGAGTGAAAAGTGAAAAGGTTGCTTATTATGGGACGACGTACTCCATCGTAGACCGCATTACCGTTTATCACTAGGCGAGATAGTGGGCAATAACGGCCCATCGAATATGGAAAAAAAGAAATTATAAAACGTCAATATTTATTCTTTAAGAATGAATATTAGTTAAGCAACATAAATGTAGTAGGTAGGTATTCCCCGACACATCATTACCGGCTTTTTGGAAACGATAACTTGTTTGAAGAACTAGTTTATTTCGCATATTGCAATGTTACTCAATTAGAATACTTTTTAAAATTCATAATGTGTCTATGTTATGTAAGTAACGTTTTATCAAATGCCACAATGATGTTTGCTAATGTAGTTATGAAGTTTTGGATGATATAGGAGAATAATGCTGGAATACTGAAACGTTACTCAATTTTAAGTCGTGCTTAAATATCGTGCCATCTCTGTCATTTCACAAAGAATTAGTAGTGACAGAACTATACTTCACGACTTAAAATTGAGTAACGTTTCAGTATTCCGACATAAGGGATTAGTAGAAGTACAAGTTGTACATTAGAGTTTAAGTTAAAGCCAGAAGAAGAAGCGGGTGCTTGGGCAAAGGCACAGGAGGCGTACTCCGGTTCTCGGATGCGAAGCTTCGTTAACGAAAGAAATTTAAACGAAGTTTCATTGGAGACCGCACTCTGTTTCATTTTCGCACGCAAATGACAAATTCGGGTCCATAGACAATATACGAGAACGAGATTGAACGAATGAAATGAACGATATGTAAATATTTATAATTAGAAATTAAAATTATTTCGAAGTAGGTAATTTTGTTATTTTTTTATTTAACCATGATCTAATGCACATATTAATCAAGTAAAACATAATCAATTTTAAATATTTAAAGTTTTATATGTATAGAATACCATAGACAACACCTAATAATAAACTATTTTTCTTCTATTACACGACTAAATTTTTTTTTCCTTCTATGGCAATTGAGTCTCCACTATTTAGTAGTTGACTATTCTGCCAGCGTCATGTGTTACGGCAGGTGTAGGCATTACAGTTTTACGATTGGCGGTAACATTTTTGTTTTGAAGATTAATGACAATCAAATTTATCCGTATTATCATAGTAAGTTTAAAAATAATAGGTAGAATTAAATAATTAATTAATTATGGATATGGACATTGAAAATTTGAAGAGATGATCTCGTCTTAGACAAAATTTCAACGTTGATGATTCATAACATTAAATGTTAAATATAAAATTATAAAAGGCATTTATTTCGTTCATAAATGTTTTCATATTAATTGACGTAAAATAGGTAATAGCTAAAAATATATGCATAGCAATTCCTAACATTTATTATAATTGACTCCATTTCATTGGCTTTACTTTGGTGTCTATTTATTTGAATACCCTGAATGTTACTTCTAATAAGGTAGGACCATGGTTCTTGATCATTATTTTCAACGACTACATATTTGACTAGAATTTTAGTACATTGATTTCCGTCTATACGGCAATTTCTTCGGCGATGTATGTACACAAAGCACCGCTAATTAGTTCGAGGCGCTACACATCGACATTACTATCATTTACACAGTGAACATGTGTGGGTAATTTCATATTAATAGATATGTATAGAAACTATCGTTCTATCACACACATCTTGGTATTACATATCATTTTTGTGTCGGTATACGTAATATTTTAGTAAATAAGTTTAAATAAAAACGAGGGTAAAGATAAAAATACTCATAACAAACTTTGAATAAATCGAAATAAAAAATAATGAACGATCGAGCAATACAATACTTATATAAATATAGTGCATTCTCATTGTATTTTTATGTTACTGAATGATATACAATATTTCGATGTTCTCATCTGCGGCGCGCTTGGCGCAATGGTTATCGCCTCCAGTGGTCAAGTAAAGTGCCACCGGATCGATTCCAGCATTCACATGTTGTTTTAGTATTAATTAATCAAATATTTGAAATGTGAAATTAGAAACAATTAAATCTTTTCTTTTTTTCCTATCCTATTTTTCTAAATCTTATGTTAATTTTAATAGTAAATACTTTAGATTTATTTATACCTATAATATCCTTTATTTATATTTTAGTTCTAGTTATTTATTATTTAGAATAATTTAGAATGATTGGAAGAACTTTAAAGTTAACATGTGGTATATAATTAATTATTAGATATAAATATTGAATATAAAACCACATATTTGTATAATTAATAAATTAATTTTAATAAAAAATAGTATTGTTTTATTTACCGACTGATTTGCTTCTTTTATAGCCTGATATTTATATTATATGACAAAAAACAAAAAAAAAATAAATAAGAAAAACAACAAGGTAAAATAAAAAAAAACTTTTAGCTGGAATAGAACCCACATCATCATTGATCGTGTAGCATACACGAACATAACGAACATACAAACAGACACACAACTATACAACTACACACACTGTCAAACATCTGTCGTCTCGTTCCTACACTCCACGCGGGGTGCGGGGTGGGAGGGCAGTCTGCGTCCCACCGCCGCAGAGTGAAGACGTGTTCTAGTGAGGATAGCGAGCCGATACATATACTCAACAAATATAATATAAACATACATACATACTTATCTTATACGTAGATGAGCGTCTACAACATTTTGGCGACGTCGGAAAACTATAAGTAATCTGTTTAACCTATTTAAATAAAAAGAGAGAAGTAATTCATTTGGTTTTGGTTAATAAACAAACAGATTCTTTCAATGTAAGACTTATTAGACCCGTAGCAATTTTTACTTATTTCAACCGCCATTAAAGCAAATTCAAACAAATGCTCGAATTTTATTACCGATTCTATAGGAGTCAATATTTTATCAACCTACCTTTTATTATTATATCATAGCTTCAAGAAAAACCGTTTTTAACTGTTTTCTTTATCCCGCCGTATGTACCTTTAACCGCAATAGAGAATGTAATAAATACCTGTTTACCCACCATTATCGAAATTAATTTTCATTGTGGAAGATGAACAATGTACCTATGTACGTTTGTTTTGTTTACCTAATGCTTGTGTTAAACCGGTTGCACCTTGAACACGGATACCTATCGTGATCTGCATAATGTTCCAGTGATTTAAGGGATACGTACAAGGTCGCCTAGATATGCAATTATATAATATACACAAAAAAAAATAATAATAGTAATAATAAAAATAAATAAATAAATATAAGATACTAGACCATGTTTTCGGTACACTATTTGTTATGCGTGACAGAACAAAGGCAGTAAAGTAATCCAGGTAGTAGGTAATTCACAATAAACCATGTTTTAATTATGTAAGTACCTCGATAACCGCGTATTGCACTAGCGTAATATTGACAAATAAACTTATATGTAATACAATTTGCATAGTTCACCGAAAGGTATGGTGGGCAGATAACGCACAGCTGCTACTTTTGCATAGGGATCGTTGTTGTTAGTAAGTTAATGATGGTATGGGAAAACATAAACAAACATTAAGTTAGTAGGTATTTTAACAGTAAGAAGTAGTGTGATTGCGACATATCGTTGTAAACAAAGCCGCATTTTGTTATTTATGACTACTTGTAGGTAACATGTAGGCTTGCCAGATGGCAGGGAGGTCCGGGAGAAAAAACTTGACCTTGTCGTTCACAAATTATTTACTACTAAGGTTTTGGCCTGAGCTTCACCTTAAAATTATAACTGATAATTACCTACTTATTATGTACGTAACTATCTAATAAAAGTACCTATGTATTTTAATATAAATGTCATTTTCCTCCTTAAATACAAATATATATAAATACCTACTTTCAACAATTTTACTATGGCCACTGCCCGACATCAACACTGTTGTCCTGGAGGCCCGGATTTGAAAGGGTCTGAATCTGGTCACCCTAGTATCATGGCATTGAATTGCGAATAATAGTGTTGTGGCATTAAATTGCGATAACATATTAAGACTATGCATTTAATTGCGTTAATAGTATTAATAGTTTTAATAATAGTGCATTAAATTGCGATGTAAGGAATTAAGCATTAAATTGCGGGTCACTAGAGCTAGTAATAAACACGGGGATTTATGAAATGCATTAAATTGCGTAACGCTATATCCCATTGTCTACAGGTAAACCATAATGACTCAGGCGGTATTCACACTTGACAAATTCGAATGTGAAGGTGATATAGGGTCGGTTGCAGTCCGATGGGAGCGATGGAAACGCGGGCTGTACATCTATTTGGAAGCAGCGGGAATAGATACGGAAGCAAAGAAAAGAGCATGTTTACTTCATTTCGGTGGAGCTGATTTACAAGAGGTGTTCTACAATATACCCGGAGCAGACGCAAAGTCAAACGACGTAAACGATGGCAAAGTATTTGAAATTGCGATACAAAAATTAGACGAATACTTTGCTCCCAAGCAGAGTAAGGGTTTCGAGCGACACCTGTTCCGTCAAATGCGTCAAGAACCACAAGAGAAATTTGACAAGTTTTTGGTAAGGTTAAGACATCAAGCTTCAAAATGCCAGTTCACAAATACAGATGAACATATTATTGAGCAAATAACCGAAAAATGCTCGTCGGATGATTTAAGGAAAAAAATATTAAAAAACGGTGACAAAATGACCCTTGACGACATTATTTCTGAAGCCAATGTACTGGAGGTTGTAGAAAGACAGTTGGGTGATTTTGAAAACAAGAAAATTGAAAATCATGGTGTCAACAAGATAACTACGAAGCCGGACAAGTACAAGGGCACAGGAGATAGACAAGATAGAGGTTGTGGCAGATGTGGTAGCAAGAACCATTTCGCACGAGATTCCAAATGCCCTGCTAAAACTAGAAAATGCAATAAGTGTGGAATTCTAGGCCATTTCCAAATACGATGTCGAACAAGGGAAGTACAGAAAAGAAAACCAGGTCAAGATGAAACAGCGCGGAACCATAATTCAAAAAGACCCAGAGGAGCAAACAATGTAGAACAGATAGACAATGTAGCATGTACAAGCAAGCAAACTGAGTACATCTTCAACGTGAACACCGGCTCCACAGCACCATGCATGATTGGTGGAACAAAAGTAGATATGCTAATAGACTCTGGCTGCAACCACAATTTGATCACGGACAAAACCTGGGTCTCCATGAAAGAAAATAATTCAAAGGTCACTAATCAAAGCAAAGACCCACAGAAGAAGTTTATTGCATATGGAAGCGGAACTCCTTTAAAATTACTGGGATCGTTTGATGCAGAAATACAGTTAGGGAAGAAATCAGAAAATGCAACTTTTTATGTCATCTCTGGTGGCACCCAGAATCTGCTTGGGAAAATGACAGCTACTTCCCTAGGAGTCCTGCAAATCAATATACCAATGGACGTTAATAGTGTGGACACGACAGCCTTCCCGAAATTCAAAGATGTGCTCGTGGAGATCCCGTTGGACGAGTCAGTAAAACCTGTCGCACAACCTTACCGCAGGATACCTATTCCACTGGAAGCCAAAGTCGAACAAAAGATTAATGAATTATTGCACGCTGATATAATTGAGGAGGTAAAAGGTCCCTCTAGTTGGGTCTCGCCGATCGTGCCAGTACTGAAGGATAATGGAGACGTCCGCTTATGCGTAGATATGCGACGCGCGAATATGGCCATCAAACGGGAAAACCATCCACTGCCAACCATGGACCAACTACTTCCTAAGATGAGAGAAGCAAAACTCTTCACAAAATTAGACATCAAGGACGCCTTTCATCATATTGAGCTTCAGCCTGACTCAAGGCCGATAACAACATTTATAACGGGTAAGGGACTTTTTCGCTATAAAAGGATGATGTTTGGCATCAGCTGTGCGCCAGAAATCTTTCAAAAGACTTTGGAGAGGATACTTTTGGGCTGTGAAGGAGTCATTAACTTTATAGATGATATCCTGGTGTATGGAAAGGATCAGGTAGAACATGACGAACGGTTGGAGAAAGTCCTGGATGTTCTA